TCCCTCCTCCCCCTTCCTCTTCCTTCCCTTCCTTCCTTTCCTTCCTTCCATCCTTTCCTCTTTCTTTCATCTCACTCTTTAATAACTTCCTAAGAAAGGAGGTATGGGAAGTAAATTTTTTTGAGTCATTGCATATCTATATTCTATTCTCGAATGACAGTTGGGATGGGCATAGAATTCTAGGTTGAAAGAATTTTACCTTACAGTTTTTGCAGATATCTTGGAATACTGTTTATACTCAAGACTATTTTGATATTATGGTGGTTATTAGACTCACAATTAGGTTGTGTTATTTAATATGTCAGTAAATAGGCATATATATTCTATGTCAAATTTAATAAAAATGTTTATTTCATATATTTCATTATAATTGTTATCTTTTGTAGTCCTATATGTTTTACTTCACGCATTTAAAAATATTTTGAGAAAAGGTTCATAGGCTTCAGCTATGGCACAAAAATGTCAAGAACCTCAAGTTTGGTTTATTTTAAAAAGGTTTCTATTAATGTATTCATAAGCAACATATAGTATTTTCTTGGGTGTTTAAAAGTTTACATACATATTATACATACTAGTCTATGACCTGCTTTTGAAGTCCATGTTGATGCGTAAAGATGTATTTTGTAGAGTATGTTTTATTTGGAATTTATCCATTCCTAGAATAATGGACATTTAAGCTTCAGGTTTTTTATTCCAAAAATGTGCAGTGAATATTCTGAAGCTCTGTTCTTATGTAAATGTCCAAGAATTTCTTTAGACTACACTAGTATCTTTTTAATCTTTATTCTTTATTTTTTCTCAATTATTTTATTTTTTTAATCAATAATACTTGGCATATGGATAAAAATGGGTTATGAGACAAAGCAGTCCCTACTCTTCCCCTCCTTACTCTCCAGAAGCAAGTACTTAAACCTGCTATTTCTTCTTTTGGTATTTACTTTCATATTTCTAAGTAATAATCTTATACTGCCATTTCTTAATATCAAGTTTAGTAATTATACACAGATTTTCTTTTGTTACCTCTCTAACTAAGCTACTATTCCCATTTTTTAAAAGTTCTCAGCCCCTTTCTCTATCATAGAATGTGATCTGAAATCCTCACAGCAAAATTCATAGATGACTAAAGGTAGTTCTCCTAAGTAGTTGAGAGCAAGGTTTCTGGAAATGGAGAGACTTCTGTAGCCAGAAATTTATATAGGAAATTGGGAGAGGGACTTAATTAATTCAAATGAGTATGAGAATAGCAGAGAAAGTAAACCTTCATTTAAATTTAGAAACCAGTTTTATAGTTCATTAGGAGCCTTTGAGAGGTGATTCTTTTAGGTTATTAAATATCATGGTATTTCATTATTTTTCTGACACAAAGCAACTGGTTTGTCTCTGCTGTGTCAGATACAAAATAATCTTCACATTTAAACACGATCATTAATTTTAGTTCACTTTGTCAAAGAATGTTTATCTCTTGGTTTATGCAATTAATTTTATTTTTAATAGTGTTCACAGATTATATCTATCTGTTTGATGTGACAGAAAGGCCTGGCAAGCAATATTGTAAAATAATAGTGCAGCAGGGCAGATTTTTTGAAACTGATTTTCTAACTTGACATTCCTTCTGTACAGATTTCCCGGCTGTGAATTGGGTTCTTCAGTTTGATTGTCCAGAGGATGCCAACACATACATTCACAGAGCGGGTAGAACTGCCAGGTAGGTATGGGGGCCTATTTCTTTGCTTTTGGTGCTATCTAAAAAAAACATGCTTCCTGAACTGCAGACAAAGAATGGAGGAATTCAGGTAAATGAGTATTTGGTTTCGCATTTTTGTGGTGTAGGTTGGTAGCAGTTGATCAGTGGTTGTAAGTCACGATGGCTGAGACTTGATGATTACTGCTGAGAAAAATCCATGGAAATCTTATTTTAGTTCTAACTTTCTACCCTTACTAAGTTTTTTTTTATCAGAACTGCTCACTAAACATCATCTCACTGAATTCTAATGACCCCTCAGTGAGGTATAGTCCCTATTTTCAGATGAGGAAACTGAGTCTTTGAACAGTTAAACAATTTGGTTAAGATCCATGGAGCCACGATTTGAATCTAGGCAGTCTGACAACTCTAGTCTAGATCTGTACTCTTACCTTCTGTGGTCTGGGCTCTAAGAGGCAAGGTTGTTTTGCATCATAGATTTCTCTCTTGCCTTTTTTCCCCTGATATGGAAATCTTAGGCATTGCTGGGGACTACTCCCAAAGACTTCCTTTTTTTTTTTTTTTTAATATGTCCTCACTGTCCCCCCAATAAAAACATCTTTCCCCAATATATGCTAATAAACTATCTGGAAAAGAATATAGCAAAGTCATAATCATTTGGGAATAAATGGCATAGAAAGGTATCTGAATGAATGAAAAGAAAAACACTACCTCATTGCTATTGAGGTTGCAGTGAAGTTGGAAGATGTTTGCTGCTGGTAGAATTGTAAATGGTTAGCATCTTTCTGGGTAGCATTTTGTGATACTTATCAACAACCTTAGATTTCTTCCTTTTGTCTCAGTAGCTCCATATCCAGAAATCGATCTTAAGAAAATAGAGAGATGGAAAAATTTTCAGTAAAGATGTTCATCTGATTGATGTTTGTAATGGTTAAGAATTAGAAACAGCTTAAATAATAATCGATAGCGTTATGATTAATTATGATTAGCCAGGGATGGACTATTTCTTTGGATTTCCATTTTGTTACCACTTTCTTTCTCATCAAAACTGGATAAGTATTTATAATATGGATGTCAATGACTTTTGATGATTGATGCTGGAAGAGACACTTGACTAATTGGACTAATAGTTACTCTAGATTTTTAAGCCACTGACTTTTGTTTAATGATTTCCCAGGAATAGACCCAAGATTTAAAACCTCATCCAGGCAAAGACTCAGTTCTCCAGTAGGTCTGCTCTTCTATTAGCCCTACATTCCTTTCAGCACATGGCCAAGTGTCCTTTATTCCTTGCTTATCTGTGAAGTCACTTTGGCATTAAGTTCTTCTGAATTTGTGTCCATAGTTCTCAGATGGCTTTAAAGAAATTATTTTTGTTTGTGTCTGGTGAATTCTGTTGTTTGTTTCAGCTGAAGTGAAGGTTTTTCATGTCCTTCTATGGCCTAAGAAGTAGAACTCTTTCTTCCTGTTTGTTTTCTAATTTTCATAAAATGTTTGAGTGTTTAAACATTTTTCAGTTGATTCACTTTTACCCCATGTGCCATTAAACATGTGCTGTAATCAAAATGTACTCAAATAAATGCTTTTCTTTTAACTAGCATGAAGAGAGAGAATAGTAAAAGAGCGAAAGATAAAACTATTTTAAAATAGGGTTTATTTTCTAGAGTGTTCACAAGTGTCTTTTTATTGCGATTATATAATTTGAACAAGCAAGAGTTAGAACTGGGTTCTGTGTATGATATCTTCATGCATTCAGAAAATTTGCCTTTTAATGAGATCTAAGTAAATGAGACCTAGGTAGAGAATAGCAGCCTTGTTTTCCATTTCTGTAGTGCATCAGTGGTCTTTGATATGTTGGGTCCATGTTCAGATTATCATTCATAATGAGATAATTCAGAAATTTTTAGTAGTAGTTGGAATGAATGTTTCTCCATTGTTTCATTCTCCTCAATAAATGGATAGTATGTATGACTTCGTACATGTACCCATGCATACACTTCCATTTTGTGGTACTGTGCGCCTCCAGGTAGATCAAGTTGGAGCTGGTCTCTCACTAGCATATTGGACCTGGGGCATACAGGCTTTTAGATGTGCCATTGGTGTTGACATGGACAGGATAAACTTATTCCTTTATAGAATACATTTGGCAGTATTTAAAAATTATTCTTCCTGTGTGAAGTGCTTTAGGAAAAAGTACTTGAAGGAAACATATTTCAGGGATCTTGGTTCCCGGAGAAGTTAAAAACGTTGTGTAGTTGAATGTGCCATGGTGAACATGAAACTGGTCTTTATGACTGTGAAGATGAAGAGGAGGTAGAACAACATCGCAATTGATTGCATTTTAAGAGAGAGAATACCAATTTGAAAAACTATTATAATGCAATTTCTAATGTGGTCATTAATTTTTAAAGTACAAAGCTGTTTGATCCTTTGTAACCAATTAAAAAAAGTTGAATTGACTACTTTAGATGTATAGTCAATGTATAGTTTAGGATATGTAATGCTCATTTTTTCTTTGGCAGTTTAATAAAAAATGACTAAATTGTAGTTTAAGAGTTGCCATTAATGGGTTTAGAGATAATTAGAGAGTTTCGTGGGCCATGATCCTGGATAATTGAATTGAATAAAGACTAAATTAAAATTTGAAACTAATTAAAATCCTGTGTACATGCTGTAATTAAAACAAGGTTGCCAGATAGCGTTTACTTTTGGAATTGAACTGTATAAATATAGAGAAATGAATTCATTTCTTTTCTAAGGTTTGGGGAATGTTTTTTTCTTTTGCCCTTCCTGTGTTTTAGCTAAATGGACATAAAGGGTCATTCAGGTACTTATTGCCTTGAAATACTTATTCTAAGTTATTCACTTATCTGAAATTCTTTTGATCTTTAGCAATTGAGAAAAATTTTCCTCTTTTCCTTAATTACATACACCTCTTTTAACAACACAATGATCTCCTTTACAGACAAGTGAGGCAAGGGATCTGAATCTAATTTTATTTAAAAGTGATTGTCTATTTAGGGCTTACAGTTTTTGGTATTCACAAAATCAAGCTCTTCCAATGGTAAAATTGCTCAGTTGAAAATAAAGATTTGGGAATAGAAAATAGGTGTATATCAGACATTCTTAATTTTTTAACTCATTTCTTGTTTAGAAAAAAGTGCAACTTGCTGCCAGCGTTAATTTAACATCACGTGTACGAATGCTGTTTTCTAGGATTTGATATCTTCAGTGATCGAGAATTACTATGTTTCGTAAATGGAAATGCCATTACCAAAGGCTAGAGCAGTGTGAAAATAATAATAATAAAAGCGAGGTTTTGTGGTAAACTTTGGGGATAATGTTAGGACTGTAATCCGTGAGTTATCTAGGGGTAAACGCTGCAGTTGCAAGTGCCTCTGGCAAGTATTCTTGGGGCAGAAGGGATATGGGTTAAATGCTTTTATTTGGGGAGTTGGAGTCTGTATGTGGAAGGTGAGACTTCATATAAGTTTCACATACAAACAGTTGGGAGTTGATATATAAAGATGGGAGATTCTATACATAACTGTTCTGTTTTCCAGAGTAGTGGTAAAATCCAGCAATATTCCAGCTCCGTCCTATTTACTTGGCTGGCTGCATTTCGTGGATCTCATACTTTGTTTTAGAGTGATTTAGGTGGCAAAGTGTAATTCCACTAGGGGACAGCAGAGGACAATTCTTTGTATTGCACACTCACTGGCAGCAGTTCAGATGAACAGCAAATATGAAGGTGGAAAGTAGTTTAAATTTCTAATATGATAACAGTAAAAAGTGCATGATTGGTTTGTGGAAAATACTGGTACTTTACAGAATGAGTAATGAAGAGAGTTTAAAAAATGTATTTAATTGCTTTGTAAATTGAAATAATAAAAGTGAAAAGACAATTTCCATGAGTACTAATTTACTGAAACTTATTATATGTATCTTAGGTTTTACATAGGGACAATCTTTACTAGTGAAAATTCTTTTTTCATTCCTTTATCTTAGACTTAGGAAGATTCTATCTTCAGTCCACTCCTATGTAGAGCCTCTTGCTTCCTTATGTGCCCTTTCTGTTTGTTGGTATATGAAATTTACAGCTTTTAAAAAAAAGGGCAGAATTAATCCTTTATTTTGCATTAAGAAGCATTGAGGAACTGGGGTATGACCTGTCTAGCTACTGAGGTAGGTAAGGGGGCTGATATTACTTAGGAGTCTGTTGTTTCCCAGGCACTTCCCTTTTGCTCTCCTGCTATCTTTTCTAACACTGCAAGCAGAGTGATCCTTTTAAAATATGTCAGATCATGTCACTCCTCTGATGGCTTCTCATTTTACTCAGAGTAAAAGCCAATGACCTGTAGGGCTTATAATATTCATCCCCCTTCCAACCCTATTTCTTATTATTCTCCTTTTATTCCCTATGCTCCACACTGGTCTTGCTGTTTTTCCTACATGCCAGGCATGTTTTTGTTTCAGGACCCTTATTTATGTTTCTTCTGGAATGCTCTTCCCTTAAGTATGCACATGGATGTTTTCTTCTGCCCCAACCACAACTCCTTACCTTGCTCTATAATTTCTTTCTTTCATATCACTTAACACCTTTTACTAACTAGAACATTTACTTATTATATTTATTGTTTCTCTTTGCTAGAATGTAAGCTTTGTAAGGTCAAAGAACTTCATTTACTTAATTGATGTATGTATCTGGAGGCTTAGAACAGCGCCTGGCACAGAGTAGAGACTTGAGATAACACAGTTAGCTTCTTGAATCAGACATGAGTTAGAGATCTTACCTAATATATTAATTAGTTATTGCAGTGTAACAAATTACCTAACTTAATGTCTTAAAGCAAGAATCGTATATTATCTCTTTGTGGTCAGGAATCCAGGTGTGGCTCATTTAGGTCTTCTGGCTATTGGCCAGTCACACGTTCTTAAGCTATTAAAACTGTTTTTTTTTGTTGTTGTTGTGTGTTGCAGTCAGGGTGTCAGCACTTTAAGGT